GTTTGTAGACAATTAGAGATGCGTGGTTCGAATGAACGTTGAAGACATGCATATTTTGTTTATTAAAATTAAAAAAGATGTGGCTGGTTTGCATGTTGTTTGGAAAAAAAAAACAGCTAGGAAGTGGTAGTCTGTCTGCTGATGTTTGTTGGTAGAAGTTGCACACAAAACACCTTCTTTACTTCTGAAGAAAATTTATAATAGATTAATACATCTATAAGAATTCATAAATAGCTGCATCTGCAAGTCAAAAATTGGAGCACGCGTTCAAAAACTTTTCAAAAATGAATAACAGTTGACTTACATGTATACTCATAACTTGGGTTTCGTTAATGGACACGATGATTCTGCGTGAGTTGTCGTGGTTCCATTGCCAGTCTATTATATAGCAGTTTATTGATTCCATCATACTTATATCTTCTTTTCCCTGTACTTACTAAATTATGCCTATAAAATTGGATGTTAAAGAATTTGAATTCCGATTCTCTTAAGGCTGTAAAAATGGGATTTCGAAAAAAAAAATACACCACTAAATTACCGTTTTGAGCGAGTGAGAGAAGCATGATACTAGTATTTTGGTAAAGAATGACTTGCCTTTTTTTATTTGCCTTGTTGCCTGCATTTTTTCGGTGTTTGATCATTTTGTACCTGGACATTGCCATTGGATATCTTGATATATTAAATCCATGATGTACCAACCTATAATAATACTTCAACCTGTATAAATAGCGGTACTCCGATTTTCACATTGCAATGAATTACAATGATACATTAACCTTTGTTATACAAATCTTTATTGATACAGAAACCTTTATTGAGAAATCAAGTTTATTTTGCGATAAATAAACTTTATTTTTTCATGCCCTGCCATGAATATGGCCGGGGCATATAATGTTTGTCATGTCCGCCTTCCGTCCTTCGTCCTTCCGTCAGACTTTGTGTTTAACTCAGTTTAAAGCTCAGTTTCAAAGAAAGTATCCAAGATATTTTCATCAAACTTCATAGGGTGATAGATATTGATAAGAGCTATGCAACAGCTTCTTCATTTTTTTTTACCTTGACCTTTCCTTTGACCTTGACCTCACTTTTCTTAAATGGGTGTTTAGCTCAGTTTTACCATTCAAGATAGTGTTATCAAACTTCATATGCTGAGACATACTGATGAGAGCCATTAAATTGCATCAGCATTTTTGACCATGACCTTTCCTTGACTTCACTTTTCTGAAATGAGTGTTTAGCTCTGTATTAAAGATACCATTCAAGATAGTGTTATCAAAATTCATAGGCTTATACATACTGATGAGAGCTATTCAACTGCATCAATATTTTTGACTTTGACCTTGACCTCACTTTTGTTAAATGAGTGTTTAGCTCCGTTTTAAAGATACCATTCAAGATTCTTTTTATCAAACTTCATATGCTGATACATACTGATGAGAGCTATTCAACTGCATCAACATTTTTTCCGTGGCCTTTCCGTTGACCTTGACCTCACTTTTCTTAAATTAGTGTCAAACTTCATATGCTGATACATACTGATGTAAGCAATTCATCTGCATCAACATTTTTGACCTTGACCTTTCATTTGACCTTGACCTCACTTTTTAATTGTGATTAAGTCAGTTTTAAAGAAACCATTCATATTTTTCAACTTCATATGCTGATACATACTAGTGAGAGCTTTTCAACTGTATCAACATTTTTTTTATCTTGGCCTTGCCTTTGACCTTGACCTCACTTTGCTTAAATTATAGGCAATTCAACTGCATAACTTTTCAAGATATTCTGAAATTTCATACACAAATTCAAATTTTTATGTTACATTACTGATATACCCTAGGCGGGACATACATGTCCTATGGACATATTTCTAGTTTGATATATAACATAATTTTACTAATAAATAACCTATATTTGATACACAAATCTACACTTTGATACACTGTACTAAAATATCAACCTGCACTGGGTAAGCAACATCAGGGGGATATAGTACATGTACTTTTGAAAATGTTCATGATTGAAAAGGCTGGCCGTTCTCCCCTCTCACATTTTGTTGCAGTAATTTGATCAACTCAGTGTGTTAATATAAAAATAAAATTTGGTTATGAAAGAAGTTGGCACCTAAACCTAATGGGAATAAAATGCTTTCTTCTAAAACCCTTTATTTGCACCATTTCACCTTTAATTTTATTTTGAAGAAACAGTTGAATTGACCATTGTAGGTTAAAAATAACTTAACTTTTGTGTATTACTAGTATCACGATGTTTTTATAATATTTTGTGTTATACAAGATCTTTTCAACGTAACATAAATCTTATAAAACCATTTTTAACAGGATATATCAACCCTCCGAATTAACCGTAAGATACAAAGCATAGCAGGATCCTAACCTTCTCCACAAACCTTAAAATACACGACAGGACCCCAGCCTTTTGACAGGAACAAATTAAGACATACTGTGACCCGTTCCTTACCTTCTGAACATGTCATCGTCCTCCCCGCCCCAACCAAAGAACTTGTTGGAGTGTCCGTTCACTTTCTCAAAGTGTTCTCGTTTTAAGGCAGTCACTCCACCAAACAGGGTGACATAAGGTAATCTAAAATACATTAATACGTATGATTAATTAAAAATTTGGTGGCATATAGGTTTTGATCTGTCTAGCTGATTGGCTGTTTGTCGAAGTACTCTAACTTTGCTTTTAACTTTTAAAGGCTTGTTTGTGCAAGGGCTTTCAAATTTACATTTGCATTTCTTGTGAAAGGAACTTTCTTTAAATAACAACATATTTTCCCTCTTGATCTTTACCAAGGCGTTTTGCAAAATTTTACTAAACTTTAACCATGGTCATATCTTTTGAATGATTGGAATTATGCTTTGATATTTCAAAAGTCATAGTATTCCTATGCATTGTGACGTCATAAACTTGGCAGCGACGTCATGTTAGTCCTTCACAAGCCGCGATGGCTGCTTATTTTGACACAATAACACAGACTTTCACAGCGCTTGAGACTTCATGTAATAACAGTATGGTCCTATGGATTTCAGTACCAAAACTGATTTTCTACCTTTTTTCTTCCAAGAAAGTTCTGAACAGCTGAATCCTGGATCAGCCTAGATGTTATTTCACTGGATTATTTAATGAATATTACTCTACTGAGTTACCTGGTTACATGGTAAGTTTTAACAAACTTTTCTTTATACATTTTCTATGAAGGTCATCTTTGTATTTATTCATTATTACTGTGTTATATACCTTATGTTTAGAACATTCATATAAACACTGCCATTGTTTACCCTGAAATACACTAGGACACTAAAAGATCCTCAAAATGTTGATAAATCTTTTTTGCATGAGTTATGATCATATTGTCTCACATTCCTTTTATTGGATCAGTATTCTAAATATTCTTATGAGGAGACTCCTAGCATATCTTATAAAATACTGATACATGCTTTTAAAACAACTAAAGTGATATTCTCAGTTGTCATTTCTAATATTTCTATGAATCTTTAATCACAGTGACCAAAAGAAGGATATGGAGATAATCAATCAGATCATATTATGCCAATGAATCTTTTGTCTCAAATCTTTTTTAATGAAATATACAGAATCTTTTGCCTTATTTGTCACTCATATTTTTACATTCTGGTGCAACAGTGGCCCAATGAAAGTGGGAAAAACTCAGTCTGAGCATCTCTGTAAATCTATAAACATGTGTGCCCCCCCCTTTTTTTTTTTTAAACCTTCATGTATATACATGTATGTATTTTATTTAGTCAGTGATTTCAAACATCAACATGTAAAATATATATTGAGTACTTTAAAAGTGAATATACATGATTTGTACACCCTGAATATTCTGACATACTAATGGTGACATCAGTTAAAAGAGTAATTAGTTATGTAAAATTCAGTTTATATGAATGTAAATGGGGTATTTATTCTCAGTTCATGTAAGGTATAATTTGCATGTAACCCAGAGTGTATTTAATATTACTATGATGGGTCATTCTGTGATTGAATTTAAATCAGAAAAAATGTTTACTAAATTTTGGTAAAATACATATGGTATCTTTTACATTTCTGTCCTGTTTGTCTGTCAATTGTTGCTTTACTTCCTTTGTAAAATGAGGTTAATTTGTGTATCACTGAATATTGTATGCTTTTTTTCAGGATCAGCTGAGATGTTATTTCACTGGATTATTTAATTGGGCATATAATTGGATAATTCTGGTAAGTTTGTCTTTGTTTTGTTTACATTTCCTATGAAGGTCATCTTTGCATTTAACCATGATTATATGGTTTAATTTAATTACTGTGTAATTCTTATGTGATCTAATATCTCTAACATTCATATAAGCACAGTCTTATTTTGTCTAAAATATACTAAGGAAACTTCATATTGTTAATAAGTCCTTTTGCATAAATTATGATATAATGTCATAATTCATTATGTCTGTTACCCATGGAATTCAGACTTACTAAATTGTGATCTATAAGGAATGATAAAAGAAAAAGTAAGAATCTACAAAAGGTTTATCCTTGTTTTGATTCTAAATATGTGGTATATATGGCATACATATATTTTCATTTTCACTTTTGTTTCTTGGTAATGAGCTTTTCAAAAAATGTAGGACTACATGTTGTATATGCTTATCTTTTTGTATGCTTACTGACAGGTATTAAACAAAATTGAATATGTGTTAAGAGATGTTATGTCTAAAAATTACATATAATCATTTTGTATTTGTGATATTAATCAGTAATTGTGCTTCTTTTGTTATCTAAAGATAACATGATGAACTATTTTCATGAACTTTTTGGCACTGTATTTAAACATGCAATGTTTCATGCAGTTCCTTGTCATATTAACAAAATGATTATATTTTCTACAGTCCTCAACCTGGAAGATATGTTTTATTCCTACCATCTATAATCCATTCTCTATAAGTTCAGCCTGTCTGCCCAAATTCCTTTGGAAATACATAGTCAACCAACACAGAAACAATCAAACTTGAAGGTACAAGTTTAATGAGATATCAAAAAATTTATTTAATTTTTTTATTTAAATGTTTATATTTTAAAATGGATAAAAACCAAAATTAAAAAAATCTGATAATGTCAATATCATAAAAAAAGTTTTTTAGTGTCTAAATAATTAATCTGATAATCATTTTATTTATGATATTAATACAGTAGTTGTGCTTGTTTATTATCTATAGATAACATGATGAACTTTTCTCATCTGGAGTTAATGTTAAAAACAATTTTTTGAGATTAAAAACAAATATTTTCATGATCTTTTTTGGCATTGTACATGTTGTATTTAAACATGCATTGTTTCATGCAGTACTCTGTCATATTAACAAAATGGTTTTATTTCTACAGTCCTCAACATGGAAGATATGTTTTGTTCCTAACCATCTATAATCCATTCTCTATGAAGTTCAGACTGTCTGCTCTTCCTTTGGAAATACACAGTTAGTCAATCAACATAGAAACACACAAACTTGAAGGTAAAGTTTCAATGAGATACAATTGTAATATTTATTTATTTATTTATTTTACATATGCATGTAAATATTTTTGAATTGATAAGTAAATGATATATGATTTTTTTTAAATAAAGAGGGCTTGGTGGTCATGGTCATGTTTAAACTATATTGATATCCTTTAGAAGAAGAAGAAAAGGCATAAAAATTCATGATCAAATTTTTAAAACTAAAATGTATGAAATTTTTCTTTGCCAAATGATAGTTAACAGCTGAAGATAGCATATTTATAGAATAAGTTAAATATGGCTAATTTGTTAACCCCCAGCTTCCTTAATAGCATAGTTGGTAAAGATAGGAAGTTTTGACTTCAATTGCTGATGAATTCTGAATTTTCCATTTAATATTAACATTATATCAAAGGGAAAGAATACTATAATGTGGCTCATTAGGATGACCAGAAAAGAAATCTTAATGACCCTCTTGACTATGTATAAAGACTGTAACCTTATAACTGATGTAAGATGATCTGATTGTGTGGAAATAAAATTTCCTGGTGTTTCTACTACCCAAGATCTTCTTATGAGTGTATGGGACTGCTGTAAACCTTCTCCTGTTTATAAAAATAATACCTTGGAGCATGACACTTTATTCATAAAAGGTACTTTCAATATCATTTCTATGAGTTTTTGTTCTTTTTCTTTTTCTTTTTAATAATCTAGTAACACTAGATTTAAACCCATTAATATGTATGCTTCCAAAATCTTAGATCTGTCTGTATAGTTTCTTCAGCTCTTTGAACACAAATACCCTGATTCAATCTTTTGAGGTAAACATCATAGAGACATCATAAATGATTATCTGAGAGTGTATATATCACAATCTTGACCATAAGGTCAATTTAAATGGTCAAAGGCACAACAAATGAAAGTGAAAACTTTTTTTTTTTTTTTTTAATCAGAATACATAATTTTGTAATAAACAAACACTGGAAAGTTACTCTCATAATGAGCCTTAATGTCTTCCAAGAGTTCAGTTTGGACTTCCTCCATTAATCCTTATATCTTGTAATCCTTGTATCTCCAATGGTTTTGTGGGCTAAAAATCATGTGTCTTTAACAATCTTTTTTTTTTCTGACAACTGTTTTCTCTTATCATCTATAAACTTGACTTCTTCTCTAGTCAAAGGTCTTTCAGGGTAATCCAAGTAATTCTTACCCTCTTTTGGTAATAAATGGTTATATTCTTCATTTGCTTCTTCTGCAATCAAGGGTCTTTCTATGTAATCTCTGACAACATTAGGATCACCCTTTTCTGGACATAATTGGTTATATTCTTCTTGAGAAATGATCTCAATAGTGCCATCTTTTTTTATTTTAACTGGTATACCTCTGTCTACATCTTTCTCTGAAAGAATTCTCTCTTCGAACTGAATTTTACTCATTCCTTTACTCTTTTCTTTACTAGAGGTGTTACCCATGGTTAATATGAAAAGTCAAAATCTTATGTTACAACTTGTATTTATACCCTTTTTGTCTATATTTAGAATTCCATCAAGCTTATATTGCATTACAATTTTTCTTTTTTAACTAAGACATTATTTTTTTTTTATTTTTTCAGGATTCTCTAGTGAGGGCTTATGGAAATGATCTATGTCTACTCTTAGAATGGTGAAAGACTATCAGATTATGCAAAGACTAACAGAATATCCTCTCTTGGAACACTGAAACAAGAAAACCAAACTTAAGAGGATGGAGGATTTAAGAAGAACATAGATAAATATGATTTCCAACCAATTTAACCAGTACGATCATAGACTGTGGTTTACAGGATGACAAAGAAAGGAACCAGGATTGTATCTTTCACTGTCAGACACTGACTATGGATAAAGTGTAATCATTTATCAAACTGAGATCTAGTCAAATCAAGTATTGAAAATATGATTTTCTGATAGCATGAGCTCTTTAAAAACTAATTCTCACAGACCTCAAAGTATCTGAATGTGACTTTTATTTTTACCAATTCATATTGAAGACTGTTGTTATGTATGGGAATTACACATTAAAACCTTTTATTTTTCATCTAATTTTTACAACCCCCTAGAAATTAACACAGATATCCAGATGCTGGATTTAATGTTATTATTTAACTTTCCTGGAATTGTAAATATATTTTGTTTGTGTATGTATCATGTTTAATTTTGAATTTAAAATTGGTCTCAATAAGACCCCCAATAAAGATGCAAGTGTCCCATAATCTGTGTTTTAATAATATCTTGAATATCTTTATCATACCATATTCATCATACTAATTACATATAGAATGGTTGTAGGAATACACTTTGTTGTTAAGGACACTTTGTCAAGGTCAAAGCATAAGATTATTGAGATGACTTCTTTGACAATAATTTGTAACTTACAAACTTCACATCATAAGTACACACTCAGATGAAGAATCAATAAGATATTTCTATAGAGTTTTTGGATCATTTACTCCTGGGTAAAAGTTAATTACTGAGATTACTGATTTGAGTCCTGTAATGCAATAACTTAAACATTGTGTAATAACTTATAGACTTTATAAAAATTAGGTGCAAATTCTTAGGAAAGGAATGAAATGTTAATCAAATGTACAATGTTCAAAGGTGTTTATATGACTATTACTATGTAATACCTTGGGTTTCTGTAAAAATCCTATATTCACTACATAGATAAAGACCTGTATAATATATATTTTAAACTATGCTGAAGGAAAAAAAAAGTCAAAAGCTCTCCCCTTCATCTCTTTCATATTCTGTCATACACAACAATAGATAAATTGCAGTCTTATAACAAACTGATGTCTAATCAAATCCTAGAATTGATATTGTGATTTTCTGATAGTATGAGATCTTAAAAAAAAAAATAATTCCCAGACTTCAAAGTATCTAAATGTGACTTTTATTTTTACTAATTCATATTGAAGACAGTTGTTATGTATGAGAAGTATACATTTAAACCTTTTATTTTTCATCTTATTTCTACAACCCCTAACAAATTACACAGATGTTTAAAAGCTAGCTTTGGTGTAATTATTACTTTCCTGGAACTTAAAAAAAAAATTTTGTTTGTGTATGTGTGTGTCTTATTTTGAATATAATAGGTCTCAATAGGACCCCCATAAAGATGTAATAATATCTTGAATATTTCTATCATCCCATAGACTTCATGCTTACTACACAGAACAGGTTAGAGTAATACACTTAGTTTTATAGGACACTTTGTCAGGGTCAAAGCATGAGATTATTGAGATAACTACCTTTGACAATAATTTGTAACCTGCAAACTTCACATCATAAGTAAAGAAAGATTCTGAGATGATCTATAGATTTTTGGATCATTTTTCTCCTGGGTAAAATTTAGTTGTTGTGACTTTTAACATTTTGTGATAACCTAGAGACTTTATTTTAGCTTTATTGGGTGGCATAGCATATTCTTTGGAAAGAATTGAAATGTAAATCATATGCACTATGTTCAAGGTTGTTTAAAGACTATTACTATGTAATACCTTAGAATTCTGTAAAAATCTTATAATCACTGCGTAGATAAAGACTGATTGAAATAATTTATGTTTTGAAATAAGGTTTAGAAAAAAAAGGCAGGAATGTGGATATGACTTTTATTCAAATGGTGCAGTACAGCAACTCTGGTGATTTACATATATTCAGTCATAAATAGATAGGTATTGGGAAGACTCCTCTAGATTTTGAAAAGTATAGATTTTTTTTTTAAGTTTGAAAGATTAAATGGCAGCATATCATTTGCTTGTGAATTAAAAAATAAATCCAAACATATACATCTTTGGATGATAATTGTAGAATTTTATCAATTTCTGGACTTGGGTCTTGATATCATCCTTTAATGTCCTTAAAATTTTAATGACTGTCTTTTAGTTTTAGTTGAATTAGTTTCTTTTCTACATGTGAAAATTACATCATCCAAAGAAGTTCTTTATCTGCATGTTATATGAAGAAGACAATTTTCATCACAGTGAAAAAGATTGTTTTGTTAAACATAATGCATTGATGCACAAATATATTTTTAGATTTTTAATAGCTAGGGTTTATATTTCTTTATATGGAATGCTAAGTTCTGTTGATTTTAATTTTTGTGAACAAAAACATACTAGTTGAAAAAAATGTACATGATGTGTTAGAAAAGCATGTGGAAACCTGATGACTTTATCATTGTTGATTAAATCAATTATGAGTTTCATCTTTGTTACATTGTAAACATTTCTAAGTAGGGCATACATCAGAAACTCTTAAAATTCTGAGTATCAGGGTTTAACACATCAATTCCAAATGATTTTTGGACGCTTTTTATGTATCAAAAAGACAAAATAGAATATCTGTTCGCAGATGTTCCAAAAGGAAAACAAGCACAAAGAAATGATTTGTAATGTTCTTTATGTGATTCATGTAAAATGTATTTTAAAGTGTACCCTAACATTTATCTTTTGCATAAATACATATTTTTGTGGAGAATTTTTCATAACTTTGAAAAAAGTAGTCTTATTGTATAATATGGTTAACTTAAAATTTTGTAGACTTAAAAGTTGTACATGATGTGTTACACATCTTACATATGTAACCATTTCATTCCAGGGCATTCAGCATATATTGTGGTTTTGTCTTAAATTTGTTTGCTTATGTAATCAATAATTTGAGAATACTCAAATTAGGTAATATATGAGAGAATAAACAAGAAAATCAGGTTTGAAAAATGGTTTTTACAATTAATAAGGGGTTCTTCTATATATTTAATCTATAAGTAAATTCAGTCTATACAATTAAGGTATTTCTGTATGAAATAAACTTGCATTTAAGCATTTTAAGTCAATTGTAAACATTACTTTAACCAGTTTTAAAAAATGATTAGATTCACTGTCAGCATGTTATTTCCTATAAAATAAATGAGAAAACAAACAATTTAATTTGAGTCAGTTACTTAATGTAAATAAGAAGCATTGGAAATTGGGAATATTTCACAAAGTTGATTGAGCATAATTAATTTATACAAAATTTTATTCACATAAGTGAATGACATGGGCAGCAGGCAAAGCCTATTTGAGCCCTCTCCCTAAAGAGGATAATTGAGCATAATTCTCACTAAGACAGTTGGAGTATTTTGATTTAAGCATTAAAGAAACCATTTCAAATTTCAATATACAAATCATGTTTAGTCATGCAGTATATAGTTTACACTTGCCAAAAAGTAAATGGTTATCTCAATTCAGGATCAATGCAAAGGTCAAAAAAAGGAATGAAAAAAATATATCTTTTTTATGTATCAAACATGTAAGTATTGCAATAAATTCACTGTATTCATTTTTTTTTTCTTTCTATGTATGAATAGCTCTGATTTAGGAAATCAAAATACAAGAAGTAAATAAATTATGTCAAATGATGAAGGTATACACCAGAAAATGACATGAACAGATAATTTTGAGTTTCCCTCAAATATGGTTGCCAAGGGATGTGAAATAAAAACAAAATGTGGATTCATCTATTAGGATTGAGACTTGTACATAATATGAATGATGGTTACTATGACATTAAGAATGACATGAAAGAAATAAGTTTGATTCAATTATATAATTAGTTCTTAATCCATACAGTCAAAATGGAGGGAAAAAATTTCTTTATTAGGCATGAAGTAACATAGAATCACCCAATCCATCAAAATTTTACCTTTTGAAGAAAAGGAACCCTACTTGCTTTTTTAAGTTGACATTCATATTTTTGTGTTTGACAGGTAGAGCAATGGTTTCTAACTAGTATAGTGAGAACTTTATTTTAGAATCATCAGATTGTTCTGATATTCTGGTTAAGATATCAACATGACATCAATTAATTTGTTCATACAAAGGGATGAAAGCTTTTCCAGGTTTCCTCTTTACTCAGATTAGATTGTGTCTTGCTAATATATCCAACATATAAGATACTCATCAAAGTCAAACAAAGGTAAATAAATGACCTTATTAAGTTTTTAGTCAAAAGGTCAAAGAGATGTGGACATCTGCTAAATTTAATTGTTTAGTTAATATTCATCAAACTTCATGGATAGGTTAATTAAACAAACTTCATATATTTTGATTTTCAGGTTAAAGATCAGCACACTTTTTGCTATACCATTGTTTTCCATGAATATCTTAACATCTCTTTTGACTTTTCAGGTTAAAGGTCAATGTATTCCTGCTACAGTAAAACTTCATTATAAGGATCTCATAGTGATATTCTTTATTTGTAAGGAATTAGGTATAAAATCTCAGACTCTTTCTATAATATGTCACTGAATGTGCTCCTTCATTTTAGAGAGTTTTACAAGCAAATCATATACTGACTTTCAATCCTTCAAAACACAATATGTATATTAAATCTTGAGATTCAGACTTTCAGACTTTTAGGCTTTCAGCCTTTTAGGATTTCAATCTTAAAAACATTCAGACTTTCAATCTTTAAAAACTTTCAATCTTGAGGACTGAGTATTTTAATATTTATCTTATAAGTCTAGTCTTTTATGTCATTACAATTAGTCTTTAGTAATTCAAACTTTTCGTATTTGTAAAACCAAAGTGTTGAAATTACAGTGTTTGTGTAATCTTCTTAATGTTTATCTAGAATTACTGCTTTTAATACAGTCAAATATAATTTGTGATGATCAAAATTTCCAACTGAATTCAAAGACAAACTGCCTGACCTATACATATTTAGAATTTCAATATCATACATTCTTGAATATCCATAAATATCAAAATATAATGATTCAGCATTAGCTATCATCCATACACTTGTTAACCTAAGGAACGCTCTTATCATAAGTTAAACGCATGAAATTCCTCATGCAATTTTGAAGAATTTCTGTTATAAGGGATGGTGAAGACAAAAGAATAAAAAAAAGTATGGTGTAAAGTTAGCCTCACCCAACACCCAAGGGGATGGTGTAAAGTTAGCCTCACCCAACACCCAAGGGAGAGGGGGGGGGTTGAACCCTTTTTTTTTGTCCAGGAAACCTGAATTTTAATAAAAAAAAAAAAAAATTTGAATTAAATTTTCAAATTTTTTTTTTAAAAACAAATTAAAAAAATTATAAATTTTGAATAAATTTTTTTTAACTTTAAAATTCAGGTTTTCCTTGGACAAAAAAAAAAAGGATCCAACCCCCCCCCTCCCCCCCTCTCCCTTGGGTGTTGGGTGAGGCTAACTTTAACTTTACACCATACATGAAATGTCATTTTTTTCTTCTTTTGTCTTCACCATCCCTTATAACAGAAATTCTTCAAAATTGCATGAGGAATTTCATGCGTTTAACTTATGATAAGAGCGTTCCTTAGGTTAACAAGTGTATGGATGATAGCTAATGCTGAATCATTATATTTTGATATTTATGGATATTCAAGAATGTATGATATTGAAATTCTAAATATGTATAGGTCAGGCAGTTTGTCTTTGAATTCAGTTGGAAATTTTGATCATCACAAATTATATTTGACTGTATTAAAAGCAGTAATTCTAGATAAACATTAAGAAGATTACACAAACACTGTAATTCCAACACTCTGGTTTTACAAACATAAAAAGTTTAAATTACTAAGGATTAATCATAATGACATGAAAGACAAGACAGACTAAAATGAATATTAAAATACTCAGTCCTCAAGATTGAAAGTTTTTAAAGATTGAAAGTCTGAATGTTTTTAAGATTGAAATCCTAAAAGGCTGAAAGCCTAAAAGTCTGAAAGTCTGAATCTCAAGATTTAATATACATATTGTGTTTTGAAGGATTGAAAGTCAGTATATGATTTGCTTGTAAAACTCTCTAA